TAGTTGGTAAAAAAGCTTTTGAACAAAAGAACATTGTCAGAGATAAAGAGACTCATTGCCTAATGAAAAGGTTTGCTTCAGCAAAAAGATATTACCATTCTAAACCTCATATACCTCATAATATAGCTTTAAAATATATGAAGAAGAAATGGATGGAACTTGGATTGTACAGAGGTAGTGAGGAGGAAGGGAAATGGTACTCTTTTTCCCCCAAGATAACATTTTTAAACTATCCTTTATTACACAATATTTCAAGCACATAAAGAAGTAGAGGCTAGCAATAGTGAATTCCTTTGTATCCACCCCCACTCCCAGCTTTAATAGCTCATGGATGATCTTATTTCCCATATCTTCCTTACCCTGCATTTTAAACACAAACCCAGACATCATTTAATTTCATCTGGAAATAACTCAGCAAGAAATACTCATCTGCACATGCGCGCGTGTACACACACACACACACACACACACACACATGCTGTAAATAATTTGGTATGGTAACTATATTCAGTAGTTTGTCCTTACAAGAACTCTTTAAAAAGGAAACTACCTTGCCATCATCACTCTTGCAAAATTAATCAGAAGTACTTGATTTCATAAAGTATCAAGTCAGTTGAAACCCTTGATTATATTATAATTTTATTTTTATTTATTTTTTGGTACTTGGGATTGAACTCAGGGGCACTCAACCACTGAGCCACATCCCCAGCCCTATTTTGTATTTTATTTAGAGACAGTGTCTCACTGAGTTGCTCAGTGCCTCCCATTGCTGAAGCTGGCTTTGAACTTCTGATCTTCCTGCCTCAGCCTCCCCAGCCGTTGAGATTATAGGCATGTGCCACTGAGCCCAGCTTCTTACAATTTTTAACAGTTTGGTTGGTTCCATCAAGATCCAAATAAAGAACATATATTCCTGGTTGTTGCTCTATCTGTTAAGTTTCTTTTAATATGTTGGTTCTCCCTCATCCTTCTTCCCCTTCCCTGCCAATTTTTCTGAAATCAAATTGTTCTTTAGAGCTTGCAGAGGCTGGATCTTGTTGACTGTATACCTGTGGTGATCAGAACCACTCATCTCCTGCATATCCTGTCAGTTGGTGGTAGAACTAGAGGCTTGGTTAGATACAGGTTCTCCTCCTCCTCCTCCTCCTCCTCCTCCTCCTCCTCCTCCTCCTCCT